TTAATTATATTATTATTATTAATTTTTATTTAATTTGTTGATCGATTGATTTATTATTTCAGCATTCATTTATTTGTTAATTTATTATTATTATTATTTTTTTTGTTTTTTTTTTTTTTTTTGCTTCAATTTTTTTGTTTTTTGTTTTTAGTACACCCACATGCCAATTGCACAATTAGATTGAAATTCAGTTTATAGTGTGGATGAATATATATATATATACACACACAAATGTATTTAGAGCAGGACCCAATGCGAATTTGGTTGCTCTTGTGTCTCGAGTAGAAGTTGGAGAAGTTTACAATAGTACATGAGAGAATACATACCAGTTCGGAAGGGTACACTTAAAATGAGTTTGTTTTGTGTGAGAAACCAGTAATAGACATTTATCAACACTGATTTGCTAAAAGCAAAGTTTACATTTAACGATTAAACACACAGCGCACACATTCAACAAATAAAAAATAATAAACAATATTGTAAAATATTTTAAAATATTTTTTTTTAATATCATAAAATATTTTTAAATATTTTTATTGAAAAATAAATTAAAATTAAAATTATTACAAATACTTTACAGTTTTTATTTATATTTTGCTTATACTTTTAATATTGTTTTTATTTAAGTGTAGGACTAAAAAAATGACGAAAAAAGAAATAAGTAAAACAAAACATTCTCAATAGAAATGTTAAAACTAAGTCTCTATATACATCTTAAATATGAAATAAGAATACATTTCCAAAAAAATAGTCTTTTAAAAAAAGCTTTTGTTATTTTCGAACTTTTTTTTTTTAATCTTACAGAAATATATACTTTAATAGCGTGCCATCATGTAAATTGAAAATGAAAATTATAATAATAATGAGATTCCTCCATTCTGAATGAAATGAAGCGAATGGAGGCTCACAGCCAAAGACTAAAAGAAAGCACGGAGAAACGTTGGCAGGCCAGCGTTTAGGATTATATCATTCACAAAGAATCTGAAAAATATTGAATCGCTTCGTCCGAAGCTATCAGATCGTAATAATGTAATAGCAGTTAGTCATTTCGTAGATTTTTGTGAACTATACAATGTACACTGAACATCGAGCCATCACACCATTTGCGGATGAAAATAGTTGGGAAGAGAACGGGGAAAAAGACAGCTAATGTGGCTACGTGGACACACATGCTCTACAACCTACCTGGGTTGGCCGTGCTGCTGCCCGTGGTGCCCGTGGTGCCAGTGGTGCTGGCACCCGGATGCGGAGCGACATCACATGTGCAATGCATGGGATAGGCCAGTGCCGAGGGACTGGGACTGGGTGCAGCCACCGCTGGCTGTGGCGGCAGCAGATTTGGTGCCGAGGGATGCTTTTGGAAATGGGAGTGAAGGGACGTGGCAAAGCTGTGGACAGTGGTTGCTTGTGGGGCGCCTGTCGTGAAGCTCGACGTCGCCAGGCCACCCACGGCTGCCACCACTGTGGTCTGTGATGGTGCACGCGTCTGCTCAGAGGACTGCTGCTGCTGTTGCGTCGATGCCGTCGTCGACTGTGCTGGAGCGGCTTGCTGCAACGACTGCTGGGCAGCCTGGGTGCGCAGACGGGTCTCCGCCTCCTGCAGCGTGGGCAGTGGACTATGATGACTAGGCGGTACACAATGCACTAAATACTGATGGCTCTGACTATGAGCCGAGGCAAACGTCGCTACTGGTGCACTACTACCAGTGTGATGTGGATGGTGTTGTAATGTGTGTGGATGTGAATGTGGGTGTTGGTGTTGGTGTTGGTGTGGATGATAGGAAAAGGCCGTGTTGTGGGAGTGGGCTTGGTGTATGGGACATGGTGTCGGGGCCTTAGATCTTGTATTACTAGTTGTGGCCACACTATGACTAGCTGTATTTGTATTTTGATTGCCACTACTAGTGCCTAGGAACTGACCCAATCCGAAGCGCGAGGTCTTCCGCTTGAGTATGGGTGCCGAGACCTGGCGACTGTAGATCTTTTCCTTCTCGGGCACTGCAATGGCAAGACTGAATTTCCCGAAAATCCCAGCAGAGATCTCACGGCTTACCGAACTTGGAGTCCTGACGCGGCGCCATGCTGGCTGGTGCGGACATGGTTCGCTTGTAGGGCCACTTGGTGCCAAAGGAGGCGCTTAGAGTCTTGGCCATGCTGCCGCTGGTGTCCGATTGGCTGAGGGCCTCTCTGGCCTTCAGTATTTTGGCCGAGAGCGCCTCACTGCCGTTGTCCGAGTTGCGCAGGTCGCGCAGGTACGAAATGTCTCCGCACTTTTCCAGATTGATTTGCGCCTCCACGAAGAGCGTATCGAAGCGATTGAGAAAGAACTCCCAGCTGAGTATCTTGCGGTCGGATAGCGAATTGTGCAGCTGATATACCGACTGCAGCACCACGGGCCGATCGACAATGAACAGATCGAATTGCGACTCCAAGCAGAAGAGCAGTGACCGTATTGCCGTATCATGTATGGTTCCGATGTACAGAGTCGCCCGCTGCGCCACATACACATTGATGTCATCCATGCTGGCGATCAGATGACAGAAGGCGGTGGCCAGTGCCGTTTGCAGGCCAACCTCTGAGCGCAGCGGTGTCGAATCCATAAAACGTGTAATCACGGTTACTCGTTCCACTGCTGTGAAGCGAACGCGCCAATCGACATCGTGAAATGCCTCCTGCACCACGCGCCAAAACACATCCGAGCCCAGTGGCAGCGTGATGCAGTGCAGCAGCAGCGGCACGCATACCTGACAGATGTGCGAGTGCTCCGCATTGCACAGCTCCCACAAGCTATAGAGAGAGAGGAAAAGCTGAATTTCTGCTTTGAGCTTCTTGACAGCATTCACTCACTTCTTGATCAGCAAGTTCTCCTGGCACCATATGAAGAAGCCGCGCTGCTCCTTCGCAGCCTTCGTCAACGCATCGCCGTGCAGCGCCATCGTCTTCAGGCATTGCAGCACATAGTAGAGTATTTCGGGCTTTTTAATTGTCGGTATTTCCTGCAAAAATATTACATTTAAATACGATCTACAATTGCTAATCGAAATGCAAATAGTTAAGAGATCTGCAGACATTGGCAGTCTCCAGACTTATGGACCATATATCAGCTATGCTGTATCAGACTTTCGTTTTTATCTCTATTCACGTCCTTAGTTAGCTAAGCATACGCACCGTAAGCAGCTGGTGTATGTACTGCAGTGGTTGGGGCAGCTGATCCAGCGTAAACTTGAATTTGCCCACCGATGTGTGCCAGAAGTCATCGCTGTCCTCTTCCTCCTCATCGTTCTCCGAGCCGCTGCCGTTCTCGCCGCCAGCTGTGCTGCCGTTGGCTCCATTTTCGCCCATTACGGACGCCTTGGTGACGCTGACATTGGCGCTGCCCACATCCGCGTCGGACAGCGTGATGGACCGGGCCACAGCCCTGTCCGTGGGCAGAATGGAGGCCAAGTCAAGCTGCTCTGAAACTGTTTCTACAGTCGCCGTCATGATCTGCATTAGATAGCAAAGGTATGGCGATTAAAGCGAAGGCTCCCCCGCACCGACGGGCACATCTTTACAAAGTCGGTAGTTTACATATTTACACGGTATTTTCATATTAAGTGGGTGTACGGCAGATCACATTCATCACATAAGGTACGAGTGTACATAGATAAATGCAACGTCGCTTAAACTTACACATCCAATAATATTTGTTATGTTTATAGATATATATCTTTTTTTAAAGGTAGAATTAGTTTGTGATTTACATAAACGATTTACATAAAAACATGTAATAAATTGCAGGGTATTTGTGCATTAATGGTATTTTGTACAGTTGGTGGCTGTTGCTCGGTGTTGGAATCAAGGAACTGACACGGTGCTTGTACACGAAACATGCTAGTTAACATTGAGTAGAGTAAATAAGTGGACCAAACTTTATTAAGAGTACGTGGAAAAGTTGTAAAAATTAACGTAATATTTACATGATATAGAAACTAATTAAAAATGATAAAAACAATTGAGATTTATTCAAAAGAAAAACGACAGTTAATTAGAAAGAATTTCGTTTACATTTTATTTCCGTTTTTGTAGTACTCTGAAATTTATATATTCACACACATACAAGATACTTTGAGACACGGGAGTAGAAAAAAATTTGAAAAATATACTAGAAGAATTTATATACATATGCCTATAATACCTTGAAATTACCGAAACATCTATAATATCGAGAAATAAAACTATGCTACATTGATAAAACTGGAAAATATCTACAATTTCTTTTTTATGTTATTTTTTATTTGCACTTTTTCTGAAAGCAAAACCAGACGAAAACATTGATAGACTATCGGCAGCCTGAAAAAAGTTAAAGATTCTAAAGATTGTTGCCCTTAAGATTTTCTTTTTCGTATTTAAAATTTTCTTGATATAGTTTAAGAGTATTATGAATAATAATGGTTCTTTTATTTGCTTGAAAAAAAAAAAAAAAACATATTTTCTATAGTGATAATGATAATGAGTCCTAGATAAGTTTAAAGCTAATTTCAACTAAAATCTTGTTGATTGACCTATTTTGCCAAGACTATACTATTTGAATGTATTTTATATACATATGTAAATATAATATTTTTTAATGTAATTAAGCACATAGTATATTGAAGCTTGAAGAGACAAAACATGTGATTGAAACTTATTAAAATTATCTATTAGTATAAAAGAAGCCTATAAGCATTGCACTAAATGCATTTTTTTGTCGTCTTGTTAAATTGAAGTATGCATGTAGGTAAAAATAAAAACAAATAGGAACGTATTTAGAGGAAGAATTTCGTAAAATAAAGTAAATCGAATTAACACTCTGTACAATTTATATACACTTAACATGAAGAACACATTGTTGTTGTTGTTGTTGTTGTAGGGATAAAAACCAATTAAAATATAGGCATAGAAAATTGAAATGTACAAATATCGAATTGCATGTAGGAGTTTTGAAATAGCCAAATGATACAACTAATACTTCAATAATAATATTGATTGGTTTGATTTCAATTTTGATTTTGGATTTTTGTTTTGGTTTGTTTGTAAATGAATGCACAAAGTACCTCGTCTGTGGCGTGAACTTTTCTCAATTCATTACTATCAACTGAATGCCCATTTTCGTTATTCTATAAAAAATATATGAAGAAATGAAAAGTTTTGTATAATTGTCAAATGGTTTTTGGCTTCGAAAATTATAAATTCGTAATTTTTTCAATTGCATCGAAATGAAAAGTACAAAACAAAAACGATAAACAAAAACTGCATTTTCGCATGGAATCTGTATTATTTTGTTAACTATAATATATTTATCGTATTTGACAAAGTATACTCAGTGTTGCTGTTGTAATGTTTCTGAATACCTACTTAAACGCATAGGCTTTGCTGTTTTCATTTTGTTTGTCTTAATTATTAAGATTGATAATATTTCATGTTTTGTGGTGTACGTGTGTGTGTGTGTGTGAAAACTTGAAACTTGAATATTATTCGCCATTAAAAGGTGTCAACCAAAGAACGTAAGATATAATATATAAGGTTTGCTAATACTTATCGGAATACTTCGAAATACATACGGAACAAACGTGGGGCATGTGGACGAGCACGCCGCCCACTGAGTGGGGCTCGGGTTGTGGTACGGCCACAGGCACAGGACCTTCGTAAAGAGAATATATATATAAATAATTGAGATTAGTAAGCTTTAGTATATATACTGATTGCGTCAGTTGCACACAACTCTGCTAGAAATGGAAACGAAATCGTAATTGTAATTGTAATTGTAATTGAAATATGTAGTAATTGTAATTGTAATTGAAATTATTTAAGTGGCCAAGATAACGCAATGCATTCACTAATTCGAGCATGCATCCATGTACATACATTAAAAGTATAATTCCTAAAAACTGTTTCCACTAATGCTCATGGTCAATATGCAAATACTTTTGTTTTTTGTTTTTGGAAATTCACTGATTTAATCAACATGCAAGTTTTGAAAATTCCAATTTTTCCATTTCCAATTGGGGTTCGCGTCAATGTGTGTGCGCAGCTTAAGATCAGTTCATGATCGACTCGGATATGGCATTAATATAATGGAGATTTCTTCGAATGACCATAAACTGCATACACACAGACACTCAACAATGGCTACTCCTGAAGAAAATAGTCTTTAAAATCATAGATCATCAATATGTGTTAAGGGCACTGAGTGCTACGCCGGATGCGGGATTAGAACTGTGGACTTTAGTGTATTATTAGTGTAGTGGAAGACGCATTTATTAGTGTGTAAAGAGCGTTTACCGAACCGAAACATAATGGAACTAAATGGAGCAATCAATATTTATCTGTTTGGGAGTTCTACGTTAAAGACCATCTAATATATATATATATGAATATATACTTAAAAGCTTTTATGCTAAATCAAATGCTAGAAAGCGAAACAGACATTGTTGGATAGAAGAGTGTTTTGTTGTTGCTGTTGTTGTTAAAAGTGGTTTACTGTCTGCTTATAGGTGGGGTGTTTGCTGTGTATAGTCTACTCGTGTGTTCGTGTGGTATAAAGTACTCAAATTTATTTGAATTGTAACGAAATGTATGTTTAACTGATTAACAATGTTAATAATGTAATGCAAATATTTGATTATTGTTGATTTGTGTTTGGTGTGTAGTTTTTATTTTTTTTATTTTTGGTTTTTCTTTTTTAACAAATGATAAATTTGCTGTTGGTGCATCACCTGCCATTATAATAATTTTTCCATCGTCTGAAAAGAATTGATCTAGCTTAAAGATATCTGATAATGATTGATAGATTGTAAATTTTAGTATTTAGTATTTGATGAGTAGTTGACGGTTTGTTATTGTATTAAATAGCAAGTTAATAATTCATCATATATAGACCGATTGATTCGACAGAGCGACAGAGCGACAGTGTGTGACAGAGATAGACAGAAGATAGACGTTGGTACGCGCGAGAAAAGTGCGTGTGTGAGCGAGACAGCGAGCGAGCGTTAGTAAGATTTTTATTTATACAGTGGACGCGTAGAATATGTTAGAGATAGAGAGAGAGAAAGATACACATATTTATGTAGATAGAGATAGCAAGATAGACATATAATTAAAAGCCAAATAAGTTGAAAGGAAAATGTTTCTTAAAATATGATTATGGAAAGAGACTTAATAAATGATCTCGGTTTTAATTGCAGCGTTCTTAGTGAAATGTGTTTCAATTTAGGAATTAGTCTCGGTCTTGTTTAGTATTTGGTAAGTTCCATAAGCTGTTTATTATTTGAATTTCGTTTTAATTTGGTCTGGGTTTTAGGGAAGTTCAAACTGTTTACTGAGCATAACAGGTGCAGGTTTCTATGTTGGTTCCAAACTTGATTTATATGCGCTTTAAACGTGGGCTTTAGACTAAGCAATTGTTTACAAAGACGCTTTCAAAGGCGTCATACCATTCAGTTGCCTGCATATAGTCGAGGCAATCATGTATAGTCTACGTTTTTAGCTACAAGTTGAGTGATATTTGTCTGGGATTACTTTTACGGTGGTTAGTTACGAGTATTTATAGGTTAGGTTTTGCGGGTTCGAATTAGATACAAAACTTGGAGACTTTTCGAGAGGCTCTTTACAACCGAATTTCGCAAATCAACTAAAAAGCGCTCGGAAAGCGTCGGGCTTACCTGCGAAGCCGCCGAGCGGGCCCAATGGGATCGGCAACGGTGCCATGGAGAGCGACACATCACGGGTTTTCTCCTTCTCAGATTCGGGTGGCGACTTCCGCGATGATTTCTCCTCTTCGATGATGTCCTCAATGGGCACCTGAGTTGAGGCAGTTCATCAGTGATGCTGTTTGGCTATTTGAGTAAGGATTACTTACATCGGGTGGCCTGACAGGATTCAGCGGTGCCATAAACTCCACCAGCTTCGTAGACAGCTGATGCCACATGGTGGAGGCCTCGCAGTAAGCACACTCGGCCACCTGAAACCGCATGAGATAAGATCTCAGTTTGTAGAAATTCTAGTTGGAATTAGTTAGAGCTCTCACCTTCAGGGCACACACATGACTGCTTAGACCCACCCGGGCCGCTGTCACCATGCATTTGATAAGGCGCGAGACGTTCTCGCAGACGCTGGTGTGTATGCCCATGTGCTGCTCCACGTCCTGCAGTTCCATCTGCTTCAAAAGAATGTCCAGCATGAGTATGCAACAGGTGAGATTGTGCTCGGCATCCGTGGAAAATTCTGTGTGACGATTGGTGGGCGCCTCATCATCCGATATGGCCGAGGTATTCCCAGAGTCATCCTCCACAACAGGTGCTGCAAATGGAAGGCAATTCAAGTAACTGGAGTTCATTTACTGGGGAGTAATATTTACAAATGGAACTGCGTCTGGGTGGGTTGGCCATTTCGGCCTTGCTCTCCTTGCACGGCGTTTTGGGCGCTTTCGCCTGCTGCTGCGTCTGCGGCTCCTTCTCCTTCTCCCGCATCAGTTCGTGCTGTATGCCATATTTCATGATGCGCACTCCATCGCCGAACATGGCAAAGAGCTGGACGAGTGGTATGAGTATTTCCAGCTTGGTCAGTATTTGTAGCCAATGCAGCGCTTGCTGCTGCACCTTGGCTGTCGTCTTCTCGAATCGTATGGCCACAAAGTTGTACATGGTCTTGGCATCGAAGCCCAAGGGCGACATTTCCGGATCGAGGATTTTGCTGAGCACAATTTTGAGTTCGTTTAGCTCCTTTTCGGCCACATCGTTGGTAATGGCTTCCATCCAGTGCGGCATCACATAGTCCCATATCTCCGAGGTGATCACCTCGTAGGGCACCAGGCAAATCAGCCGCTGTAGCCCCTCCTTCAGGTGGCTGGTGCGCGAGGCGAGCGTCTCCCAGTGGCCACCCACGCGAGCGTACTCCGGCGGATGGGGCAGCAGACAGGAGATGAAGACGTTGTAGTGTATGCGGCAAATCTCCTTTAACCAGTTGCAGACGTGATCTATTTTGAGCTTCTCTATGGTGCTCTCCACCTGCCCAGCAGCTGGAAATGCAACGTTAAGCTCTGTGTGGGATAAATTGCTACTTCCTCTACTCACCATCGTAGGAGTAGGCCGTGACATGAAACCAGTGAAAAAGCATGCTAAGAATGCGTCCCAAAACCTCGACAGGTGTGTCAGCGGTGGGGGTGCAGCGGCCCACCAGTAACCAGATGCCATAGCGGCCAAGTCTCTGGCGCTCCTCGAGCGAAATGTTGTCGGGCGTGGTCGCACTGCCATTCTTCTTCACGTCCATCAAGGACTCCTTGCCCGGCTCAAAATTCAGCGGCTTGGCCTCGCGCAGCAGACTGACCACGGACTCGACCATGTGCATTTGCATCTCGGGATCCATCTGCCAGGCTGGCTGCAGGCTGCGATGCACCACATGATCCCCACCACGGCGAGAGTTGTGACGATTGCTGTGGCACTGGGCGCAATAGCGAATGGGATGATTGCCATTGAAGCTGGCGCACTCGGTCGAAAAGCAGATGGAGAAGGCGGACTTCTCGTTGGAGCGACAGTTCTTGTTCTCGCACACCATCGACACCTGTTGCATGGGATGCAGTATGTCGCCAAACTCCAAGTTCGTGTGCTCCCGATGTATCTCGTTGGCGCACTCAATGCACAGATACAATGGCGGCGGACAGTCCTGGGCATAGGTGATGCTAATGCTGTGATCATAGCAAACCTTGGCTGCCTCAGCATTGCCAGCGTTGGGGCAATGCTCGCGCTGACAGGTGAATGGAACCAGGTCATCTGCACAATTGGAGAGAGTCGAGACAATATTTATTAAAAATAATTGAGAGGCATGGGAAACCATAGACTAAGCTGGGAATGCTGAAAAAAAACTTAATCGTTGATGAGGATACAACTTTTTTCGCATTCAGCTTTATGATTTTTCTACGGCCCGAATACTTGCACACTCTACTCACTGGTAAGCTTGGAGAGCAGAACTTTGCGATCAAAAAGATTGGGATCGAACGCAGGCCAGTAGTAGAAGAGCAGCTTGGCCGCAGAAGAGCGGGAGACAGCCGTGCCATAGGCCACCACACAGAGTATATCCTTGACGACGTTATGCTTCAGCGTCATCAGGCACTCCAGCAGTTGACAGTGATGTGCTGGAAGATAATACTCATACTCATAATATATACAGCAAGAAGTGTAAACGGCTTTTACCTGGGTTCTTCGAGTACTGCAAGACCATCATGATGACAGAGGAGACCGATTGACAGGCTTGGCACTCCTGCTCATCGGAGCTGCGACGTGCTGTAGATGAAGGATTAGATTAGAATAAGCTGTAGGCCAGCAGAAGTGAAACCTACTTATAGTAAAGGGTAAAATATAGTAGCATAATGCATTGACAATATCCTGATGCAAGGCTGGCGGTAGTACAGATATAGTAGAGCTAACTAGATAGGGTAGATTATCAATAAGATCCTTGTCGAGGAAGGGTAATATACAGCAGAGGCACTGTAGCAAAGCTTTGCCAAAGACTGAAAGTAAAGTAAATGTAAATGAGAGAGTTTTATCGGATTATCATTAGAAGCTTACCAATTTGGCCATACTGGATGCAAGGTGCCACATCGATGAGCATGGTCAAGGCATTATAGAGATTGCCATATTCAAGATTTGGATAGGCAGACATGCGTGTAGGATCTTCGAGAGGATCGCGAATGAGCTCATGCGGAGAGGTGCGCACATCTTTAAGGACAGCTGCAAGTTAGAAAATGTTAATGATGCCATATAAGGGTAAGTTTGGGTGGAGCTTACTTAGTAGAGTTTGAGAAAAGTATTTGATATTGTTAGCAATATCGACGCCAGAGGGCGCAGGTAAGACATTGTGCAAGAGGCGTACATGATATTCATGGAGGGCTCTCAGTTTTGCCTGAACTGTGAATGAAAAAGTGGAAAAATATTTTAAAGAATTGTTGTTGCGCGCCATATAACTAATATGCCCCTATGCAATAAGTACAGGGTAAAGGTGTTGCAACTTGAGACTCCTGTGGCATACTTACAGGCGGCAGCGCGAGTGCCCATGTTGATGAGTTGCACCTTAAAGCTGCCAGTCATTATATCAGACAATTCCTTTGCATTGCCGAAACTGCTGCCGAGCGACTTCGCATTCTGCATGAAATGTTTCAAAACATTAAATACCAAATTGAACAATCTCTAAGCATTACGTAATCTGTACCAGCCTGTGGCTGATGCTGTAAAAGTTTCAGTGACTGCTGAATTTTAAGTAATTTTTATAAATTTCATATATTCCAATTAGACTAGAGTTGTGGGCTTCTATTTGCAATGCACTCACCTCGAAATTAGCTAGTTTTTTCAATAAATTTGCAATTTTTTACGGGTTGACGATATACCTTGACCACAAAGAAAAATCTCTATAACTAAACTGAGCTCTGTATGTGTTCGCTGATTGGGTGTGCTGTGTGTGGGTGTGTAAGTGTGAGTTAATGTGTGTATCTGTGCAAGAATTTCGCTGTGTCAAGTGCCGAACACCTTATTGACCGAGTTTCTCACACTTATCCCGCACATCACGCAGACTTTTGCCCAATCTTCCGGCTTATATGTTATTTCTTATATTATTTAGTCGCAGATTTCGATTTCGATTAATTATTTGAGTTGCATTTTTATAAAATTAATAGCCGGAATATGCCGTGGAGTGAGCACTGACCCACTTTTACGACTGCTGATTAAGACTCACCCCGAGAGTGGCCCGAAAAACCAGCTGAAACCGGAACATGCGCATTTCGAATGTTTACTTCGCATTTTGCAGTTGACGCAGCTTTCCCGCTTTTCCGACTTGACGGTCCGATACAACAAGTGTTTGTTTTGGTCGGCTCTCTTGTAAATATTTACTGCCATCCTTATCAGTTGGTGCCGAGGCGAGTTTGCGCAGTTGCTGCGTTCTGTTTGTAAATATTTTCCAGCTGTTTGTCCAAAATGCAACAAGTTTCTGCTTTGGAGACTTTCCAAGTAGTACATATATACATATATAGGGTATTTTTTGTAGATTTCTATAGGCTGACTTTGTGTAACTTTCTTTGTTCTTAACTCAAATAAAAAATTGATGTACTCTTAGTATAGACTCATTATGAAAGTTGTAGTTCTGTATACTCTGAACCCATTAAAAATAGGAATTTTATAGAACTACGACTGTTCTTGCTATACCCCACTCCCACTTCCGAATCCACCCCCATTTCCATAATTATTGGCAAAAAGTATAGATAGTATATAAGTATAATAAGAATTTGCTCTAAGTATTTCCTCTAAATATTTCCTCTAAATATTTCTTTTAAATATTTCCTCTAAATATTTCCTCTAAATATTTCCTCTAAATATTTCCTCTAAATATTTCCTCTTTAATGATTGGCTAAACGATCACATGCATCACATTACATTACTTCACTTTAATTTACCTCAATGCACCTAACGATTGACCCCCACCAGGCCTGAGCGACTGAAGAAATGCTGCAGCTGCCCTTTATATAGGGCGACTTTCGCTCAAAGTCTAATAGGCGCTCAAATGAGAGCCTGGCGTCAGGTAGAGATCAAGAGCGTCAAATGACCAATGGGAGCACTCTCTACTGCTGCAAGCATTCTAGCTTCGTGGGCTTCGTAGGGGTCGTCGCAGCCGAGCTTTAAGGGACCAATGGGAGCACTCTCTGCCGCTGCAAGCATTCTAGCTTCTGTTTACTCAAGAATAAGTAGCAAATGCTTGATGCTGCATACATATAGACATTTTTAATGATCTTAAGTAGCTATTCTTCGTCTTTTGCTTTTGTTAGACAGACAGAGAGACAGTTAGCCTAATGCTTCACATATACTTGTAACTGAAAATTGAGTACATAATGAATTTGTATAGTATCAGTAGTAAGAAGACGCGCTGTTTGGTACTCTATTTAAAATAATAATGAATGTAGTTAATCAATGAAAGTTAGCAATTTAACACATGCGCAAAATGTTCTGTTGAAGCCGAAGGGAGTCGCATTTAGGGCTTCTTTTGGGGTTGTCCGAGACTTTCGTCTGGTTTATGCGGCACCTTTTAACCTGCAGCCGGTAAGTGCCCAAAAAAGGGGCGAAATTAAAACCGGCAGACACTTTAACGACAGATTTAACTGAACTTTGTGAACTGACCAAGCCAAGTTGGAATCGTTTTACAGTTGTTGGGGGCTGTATGGGTAGTTAAATGGTATTAAACAATGTGTTGGGATTTTTCTTAATATGCTTTATTCAGCATTTGGGTTTCAAGTTAAAGCTGAACTGCAGAAGAACTAATGTACTTAATGTGTATGTGCGTGTGTGTGTGTGTGGGTGTATGCGTGTGTGTCTATGTATGTATGCTTCGATTCCTCAAAATGTATGGTGAGTGGGTGGCAGAAGGCTGGCAGGCTCTTACAAACTGGATAACAGTAAATTTAAATAGGTTACAGCTATAACCTATGATTCGGTCTCCTCGTTTGAGGCATTCAAAACAACATCGGAAATAGCGAGCATTTGCACTTCCTCGAGTATCTCCGGAATGCAGTTTAGATGAATATCCGATGTCTTTTCTGGCTCAGTAATATCTGTAGTCTCGGGCAACGGTTCTGCCGCCGGTATTGTGGGCTCCTCTTCGGCTTGGACTGGATCAGACTGCTGCTCCTGCGATATCTGAGGTGATTCTGGCACATTTTCCATTTCTATTGCCGGTTTCTCTTCCTGCCGGTTGGCCGCCTTCTGGCGGTGAAAAAGCTGTTTCCAATAGCCAGATATGGATGTCTTAATTGTGGGCTTTGCGTTTGGCACCGGCTTGTCGGTAGCCTCCTCCACGGCCGGGCTGACAGTGCTGGAAGCGGGTTCGTCAGGCTCTGTGAACTGCACAGTGCCTGGGAGATAAAAAATATATTTATGTCTAGATCTACAATAGATTTATGTATAAGAAGTAGCACAGTTACTTTTCGTAGTGCCCTTAAGTCGGGTGAGAAAACGACTTATGCTGCCTGGTTTGCCAGGGTCCTTGGCCTCATCTTCCAAGTCGATTTGATCCTCGCTGAAATCACTTGGTGTGATGGATTTCCTGCCAAGCTTAAAGAAGCGCTTCAGCGAATTGGACTTCGTTCCGGCTGTGTCGTGTTCGGCTGTTGGCATAGTTTCGGGCGCGGCAAGCGGTACATCTTGAAGGTTTGACATTGTGCAACCACTTGAATTTTTCAATTTTTTATTTATTTACTGCTCGTTGACTTACGAAATAAAAATGAATCTGGCTAAACAGTTAACAGCAACTGCCCCAACTTTAAACCCAAGGCCTACTGAAAGTCGTTCAACAGCACTCTGGCCCCAACGAAGTCCTGCTGCTGGCATTTGAAAATTTATACGTCTGCCAATTGATTGCAGATTTAGGTACCGACCAACATGTGTTAACAACGACATCGAAACTGGTTTCAATTGATACGATTTCAATATGTTGTTGTGCGCTCTTTCCCCCTCTCTCTCTCTCCCTCTCTCTGCCGCTGACCAATACTCCAATACCTCAATACCAATATCAATTCATTCAATATGGCACCACACAATACCTCTCGTTATACGTTAGTCCATTGTTCCAAAAGTCCCCTCCGCCTCGATCCACATCCCTTCCAGCTCTGACCGTTGGCCACCAACAAAGCCGTTTCGTGCTGCCTCTTATAAAATCAATTGAAGAAGTGGCGATTCCTGCTGTCGACACTGCACCACTGCACCGCTGCATCGCTTGTTATTATGGCTGTAGTACGAGTACGAACACAAGTATTGTATGTACATTAATTTATGTGGTTATATTGCTGTTGCTGCCGATGTCGAGCACCAGAACAATGGACATTCAGTGCGTAACAAAATTTTTGGTTGCACGTATGTGAAGGGTGTTGAAATTTCAACGGATTCTACTTGTAAAATATGCAGCATGTGAATTTTTATTGCTTGGAGAATGATATGGAGGAGGAGAAGGATAATGAGAGAGATAATTAGAAAGAGCAGGAAATATGAAAGAGAAGGACACTGAGAATGAGACTGAGAGTGAGAAAGAGAATGAGAGTGAGAATGAGAATGGGAATGGGATTGAGACAGAGAATGAGAATGAGAAAGAGAATGCGATTAAGAATGAGAATTAGAATGAGAACGGGAATGAGAATGGGAATGCGAAAGGGAATAAGTATGAGATTAAGAATGAGAATGAGATAAAGAATGAGAATGAGATTGAGAATGAAAACGAGAAAGAGAAACGGAAATAAAGTGTTATAAGGCAAGAGAAATGAATAAAGAATAAGAACGCGAGAGAGATTATTTATAAAGAATCATTTAGATTTTTCATTGTTTTTGAACTTACTTAGTAATTTATTTGTAAAAGTTATTTGATGTCCGTTTCTCATATGCGAGGTCTGCGCTTCTAATATTGAAAGGAGTTCTAAATTGATATTAAATTCATGCACGCAGATGACTTTAACAGAGCCAGTACACATCTACGTAAGCAAGGAAGTATCAATAAATCATATGTGCGACAGCAAAACATGGATTAATTCAAGGGATATCCGTTACCAGGGAGCAGCTGCTGCTAGACAGCTAACGAGTTTCTCTCCCACCCCAAAGAAAGTGTGAAAATGTGAGCGACAATGAGTTGGAGTTGCATCTAAATGGGTGCGGAGTTGGAAATGTTGTTTGTGGCATGACGGCAAATTCATTGCCAAACACATTTGTAAATACCAAATGCCCCATAACCAGAAGCAACAGCAGTTGCAGCCACAACGGCAGTCAGCAGGAGAACAACAATAATATCAGCACACACCCCCCTGGGCTTACGCAACAACAAAGGGCAGCAGCACAAGTGAAAACAATGGCAGCAGAAGCTACAGCAGCAGACCGCAAAATGTGTTGCATGCCCCCTGGCGCTGTTGTCGAGCTGATGCTGTTGCTGGCTGGCGTTTGAGTTGGAGTTGGAGCTGGAGCTGGAGTCGCAGTCAGAGCCAGTGGCAGACAATCCTCACAGACGAAGTTAGCAAGTGCATTCATTCATTGGCAATAACAATCAAACTGCTGCTAGCACTTGGCTGCTGTTGTCGCTCTGTGGAAGCCAAAGAAGATGAAGGAACCCTGGCAGGCTGCTCCACCCGCTGGCCCCAGCTCTTGTTGCGCATTTGCAATGCCATTCAACTTGTTTTTTGCTGCCGACAATAACAGCAACAACAGCAACAGCAACAAGAGAGCATCCATTGCCAAACCAGCCCATTCAATGTTATTGACTTTAAAATTTCGTTTAGTATATATTCTCTAATTGAAATAGATATCTCGTACTTTTGGTGCTCCATGTGGGAAAAGTAAACTTTAGCTGGGCATACCTTGATAAAGATCATAAATTTGTCAGCTCCACACCTTGGGCTAGTTCGATTTGGCATTACTCTATATCCGCCTTTATAGATTTACAATATTGACTCGGACCAAGTCTGTTGACATTGTAACCCCAGCGATAAAGAGTTCAATCGCTTTGGTTTATTGGCCCCTCAACAGCAACAGCAACAACAACAACAACAGTGCTCCATTTAAAATAAATATTTTATGTCTAACGATAATAAATTTCCAACTCTGTGTTGATTCAAAGCGCATTGATAATACTTTTTATTATATCACACTTTCACTTCAATGATTATGATATGAAGCAGCGGCCGTTGAATTAAGGCTTGAGCGGTGTTTTATAAGATGAAAATTGTTAATATAATAGAGCTGTAAGGTTTTATATATATATTTATTTTTAAATGAAATTTTTTATATAGAAGCTTTTGCAGACCGAAGAGGTAATATGGTTCTCACTGCTCATTTTTCCTAAGCTGATTTAAATATGTTTTGTAAATGAATTATACATACTATAATATCTTATATTGAGCATCTAAGCAAATTGATATAACTGTGTATAACAGTAACTGCGATCAATATAAATGTATGCCATACACACTTTTTTTGTTAAATAATACTAAGATTCTTTTACGAGTATAAGCGATGCCTAAAGCAGAACCGTTGACAATCAATCGCAGCTTGCGATCAAGTTAATCAATTACTACAAGCCGCAATAAATTCAACGCGTTGCAAGCGCCAGCGCAGCTGTTGATATCGATATCGGGTGATGGAATCAAAAGAGGCAAAGCGCCAGCCGAGTAAACAGAATGTCAACAGTTTAATAAATAAAATCAGTCAGCACCACAGCAGGCGCAGATCCAGATCCGCAGCAACAGCCAGCCGGAGCTCAAGCGGGCGCTGGGAGCAGGCGCGCGACGGCAATTAAAAAAAAAAAATAAAAGAAGGCAAAGACACAAGCACGAAGCGCGCAAGATTCACTCCGCTTCAGATTCAGATTTAGAGCCAGAGCCAGAGCCAGAGCCCGAGTCGAAGTCAGAGTCTGAGTCGGAGTCGGAGTCAGTCACTCGATCACAGAGCACACGGCGGTCCAAGGTTGCCGGCAAGCACATGTGAGGCGCTGCTGCAGCATCTTTTCGCGTCGCGGCGTCGTGTGCGACAGGAGCAGATTGTCGCAGTCGATCAGAATCAGCGCTGACATTTTGATATTTGAGTCTGCCATAAAAATATGATCGATTTATTATGCGACAAGGCGACGGCAACGGCAACGGCAACGGCAACTGGCCCAGCGACAACATGGCCAACTCCTTCGGGCCGGGCGCGGTGCAATGCGCGACATTGATTTTCGCGAAGTAATGAGGCAACTCATTAATCATTTTTTTAGCTGTGCATCGGCTGGGGGATTATGCTGCCCGGCATCCCGGCAGCGGCAGCCGTCGCCGCCACTGACGGAATGCTGGCAACATGTTGCACATGCTGCTGGCTGACTGGCGGCAACAGCTGCAGCTGCAGCAGCAGCAGCAGCAGTACATCCCGGAACAAGCTCTGCCTGCACCCAGCCCCGCTTGTATTCGCTGTACAAATCGTGTTCTTTGCGCGCACACTGCTTGATTTTGTTAACCTTTTGACCATTTGAAGTTATTTTTGTATGCTTTACTGCCAATTTGGTGGTCATTGGCCATTCACTTGACTTGCGACTGTTGCCTGTTGCCTGCTGCTTGTCGGCTGTCCATGTCCAATGTCTGCTGCTTGCCAGTGCCAGTTGCCAGTTGCCAGTTGCCAATTGCCTGTTGCTGCGGTTGCTCTTTTGGCACACAACGCACCATGGCTGACAGTTTGGTCGATTGCCTGGCCTCTACCTCAGAGTCTGGCACTGCCGACTCGGCTGTCGCGGTCGCGGTCATCTCCTGGCTTGTGGCACACACACTTGGGCCATTTGGCAACCGCCTGGTGGAGTATTCTATACGCTACAATTGGACTCTTGTGGGCATAGAGCACTAAAGCAAGTGAAGTGTGCCAAGATAAATAACAGAAATAAATACCAAGTAGTATCATAAACAAATTTAAACTTAAATATGATAATTGAAATAGTCTGTATATTTTGATTATAGTTAATTAAATTTATATTAATATGTCAATAATTATATACAGAAACATATCTTTTTCAACTAACAACTAATTTGCCTCTTTTGTAATTGCTTTTTGGTTTGTTATTGCCGTTGTCTTGTGATTTACCTGTGAGCTTAGTTGTTGCTTTGCTTTGTACAGGGTGCCACCAGGTGAGCGGGGTATTGGTGTTACCTGCACTTGTCTCGCACAGTTGGCCAACTTGTTAGCTGTTGCTGTTGTTGTTGTTGTTGTTTTCTGTTGGGGCCATTAGCCTTCACTGCGAGGCACACGCACAAGCACACGCACATACACAAACACACTCACACATTTTTCAAAAATCGCAATTCTAACAAAATTTCTTCATTTGGCGTCTGAACTTGTTGCTTGTTTGCAGTTGTTGGCAATTATTTATAGTTTCTGATGTATTCAATTTATTATGCAGATGTAGAAAGTTGCTAAATGCTTGATGTATGACTCTAGCATATTGAATGTAATCATTTTTCCATAGTTTACTAAAACAACTTGACGGAAATGCATTTACCTGCTCACAAAGATGTCTGCCCGTTTTAAGTATCAGTTGATTATAATACTCGTATATGGTTACGTTTTCTCACCTCTATGAGAATATTTAATCAAGTGACATATGTTATTTTAAAAGAGAGAGATAGAGAGAGAGAAAGAGATAGAGAGAAATAGAGATCGAGTTGGTAAATTACTTTTGTATTGTTTGTCGGTTTTATATACAGTGACGAGCTAAATTATTGGCACAGCAAGGTTTTTAAACTAGA